GTTGCAGTTAGGAAGGATGAACAGGGAAAAACTAGTCTCCAGTGTCTTTGCATAGAAACACGAGACTAAGATTTGTTTTCATTTTTCCTCATTAAGATACCTTACTGATATTTTATATTGTTCAAAAAAAAGTTGGTTTTTTGTTTTGTTTTGTTGATGACTCCTAATCTGCTTTTGGAATTTAGGTTTAAAAGTGTAGTTGTAAGCCACAGTGTGTGTGGGTGTGTGGGTGTGTGTGTGTGTTTGTGTGTGTGTGTGTGTGTGTGTGTCTGTCTGTCTGTCTATCTGTCTATCTGTGTCTGTCTGTGTGTCTGTGTATCCACCTTTTTGGCAAATGGCTGATGAGGAGGATGAAGATAGTCAAATACATCTTTATCAGCCTTCCTTGCTCTGGGACAGTTTGAAAAGACAGGACTGCAGGAAAGGAGCAATAGTGATGCTAGCCTACTCCAGAGGTGGAAGGGAGCTAGCCTCCTTACTAGGATTCTCCTTTGACGAACTTCTACCAAGACAGGCATTATCCTCCTGCTCAGAAGCAGAAATCAAATGGCTTGACCTTGCCTCAAATCTTACACCACTGGAGGGCAAAGCCTGACTGAGTCTGGCTCCTCCTGTCTGTGTGTCTGGGCTCTTCACCACAGCTGTGCTGTATCACAGGAAAGGAGGGGGGTGGGGTAGGAAAATGTCATAAAGGTATCAGTGAGAACCCAGGAGAGAAAAACTGCAGGTTCTCAGCTTTGTTTCAGTTACCATCAGTGTGCACACATATGAACACACACGTAGGCAGTTCTTCCCCAACTTAAGTGTCGCCCAGAGCATCTGGGGGCTTTCTTAAAGGTCACCCAACAGGCCCTGAAAGAAAGAAGGGCTTGATTGAAAACCTCTTCTTCTCACTTTTTAAACACTGGAAAATCCATTTGGCTGCAAGAAATGAATAGTAAAAGAATTCTAACTACCCAGAGCCAATAAAAGGTAATGGAAAAAGGCAGGAACACGGTTGGATTCCATTTTCTTTTCACTCAACACATCCTGTCTTTAATCTGGAAGGTAAATAGGCCATGCCCAACAGACCAACTCTTTCCAGGTGAAATTATCTAGGTTATAAAAACAAGCAACAACTGTGCTCCCATTATCCTCCATTCATGGCTGGCAGAAACAGTGTCCAAAGCAAACCAGACCCGCAAGAGAGCAAACTCATGCTTTCCATTGCTTTGAAAACCGACTTTTGGGATTCTTTTCCCTTGACTGAAACTGTCCGGAATTATCTGAATGAAAAAGTTGCAGTAGCTATAAATGAGTCAGGTGTGATGGCTAACGCTGAACTCTTAGTCCTTGGGAGGCTGAGGCAGGAAGATTGTTCGAGAGCAGCCTGGGCTATACACCAAGTGCTAGGCTAGCCACAACTGTACAGCAAGGCCCTGCCTCAAAAAAGGAAAAAAAAAAGATCCAGAGAAGGTGTGGTAGTTTGAATGAAAATGACCCCAAAGACTCGGAGAGAGTGGCACTAATACAAGGTGTGGCCTTGTGGGAGTAGGTGTGGCCTTGTTAGAGGAAATGAGTCCCCAGGGGTGGGCTTTGAGGTTTCAGAAGCTCAAGCCAAGCTCAGAATCTCTCTTCTTCTTCCTGCTGCCTGAGGATTTGGATATAGAACTCTCAGCTCCTTCTCCAGCACCATGTCTGCCTGCATACTGCCATGCTTCCCGCCATGATGATAATGGACTAAACCTCTGTAACTGTAAGCCAGCTCTAATTAAATGCTTTCCTTTATAATCATTACTGTGGTCATGGTGTCTCTTCACAGCAATGGAAATCCTAACTAAGACAGAAGTGAAGCTTGAATTTTCGTGTTTTCATTATTTATATTGACGAATGAAAACAAAGAAAAGAAAAAAGGAGAGAAACTCTCTGCATTCCACCTCTTACTAATTTACAACCTTCCTGAGACATTTAGCCTTTAGAGCACCAGAAATAATTACTAAGTTTCTGTCACTATAATTCCAATGTATCCACATCTGGGACTCCATAACTCCATTGTGCACCTAAAGCCTTCATCCATGTGAGTGAGGACTGTGCCCACATCTGTTTCCTCAACTCCCCTTCTTCTCCATTTGAAGCCAAACATGGAGTTCAGCAGAAGAGAGCGCCTCCACAAGCAGAGCATCCAGAGGGTGCTGTATTATTGCAGTGCTGCGCTTCGCCCTCCTTTCTCTGATGTTACTTAGAGCCAGAACATACAGTAGATGGTCGAAAGCAGAAGTGTCAGGGGCTGGAGAGATGGCTCAGTGGTTAAGAGCACTGGCTGCTCTCCCAGAGGACCCTGGTTCAAGTCCCACCACCCACATGGCAGCTCACAACTGTCTGTAACTCCAGTTCCAGGGAATTTGATGCCCTCTTCTGACAGCCTTGGGCACTGGGTGCACATGTGGCCCACAGACATACATGAAGGAAAAAATACTCATACACATAAACTAAAAATACAAGTGGCAAAGGCCGGGGACTGAACTCAAGTCCTTTGCCAAAAGCAGCAAGTTCCTTTAACCACTGAGCCATCTCTCCGGCCCCTAGGCACACTTTTTTTATTTTATCATGTTTTGGATAAAACGAAGAAATAAATCTCTAACATTAAAAAAAATGTTCAAGTAGTACTTCAGGCGAGTCTGACTCTCATTGCCAATTTACAGACACTAATGCAGTCGCACGTGCTCAGCTTTCGGCTTTAGATCGCCATAGGTAACGAGGTGTCAAGGGGCCAGCGAAGGTTGATGCTTATAGATACAAAAACTTCCAGAAAATGGAGGGTTCCAAAAATATCAAGCCATGTGACTTTCTGCTTCTGAGCCCTCTGTAACAATAGGGAAGTATGAATCTAGTTGACAGAATAATGTAATTGTTCAGACTCCAACTCCCAAATCACTGAAAAAATGAGAAACAGCGGTACTGCTTTTAATTAGAAACTGAAATCTATTGAAACAACAATGTGTCAACATTAGCTTCTTGTAAAGATGAAATGCAGCCTTTGGCTCACTATATTCTCTTCCCAGCTTTGACACACAAGCTTGAATTCTGCACTATGAACTCTCACAGCAAAAACTGAACCTCATATCTCGCCCTTAAATGCCAGGCACACTCAGAGGAAAACTCCCATCGTGGTTTTCACTAAATGTTGCCTCTGATTCACGTGTTTCAAGGAGTGGGAAGAGTCAAAAGCATGCAAGACAGATAGAGAAGCCATTGTTTCCGACAGATGGGTTCAGAATCCAAGCAAACCCAAAGGAAAATGGTCGCCCTGAGGTGAAGAGACCTCTTCCTCTCTTTCCTTAAAGCATCACATACTGGCAAAATAAAGGAGTAACATCGGTGTGACTCCTAACCCCCTAAAACTCAGTGTCTTCCCTAGACCTGTACCTCTGACCACCCCCCCTTTACTGGACTCTGCTTTCTCCGAGCCCTGTTCCCAGGCTCCTGTTTCCTATGCTTGGTGCTCAGTTTGCAACCCTCTGGTGGATTATAACAGCAGTTCTCCAGCTTCCAAAAGCTGCCACCCTTTAATACAGTTCCTCATTTTGTGGTGACCCCCAACTCTGCGGGGCCTTTACCCACCAACCCCACAGTTCCCCAGAAAGTAGCAGGAAGTATTAGATAGAAGGATTTAGAGCAAAGAGATCAACAGATAGAAAATACAGGATAGCCTCAAGAGGGCCTGGAACCTATTCCAGCGAGCCCTGACTCTTCTGTTCTAAGGTATTTATAGAAACGCCAAGGGGTGAAACAAAAGACCTCCCCCCAGCACAGCCAAGTGCCAACCATCTCAGACACCTGCACTCAGGCCGGTGGGCTAATCATCCTCTCTATGCAGACCTGCTGAGTAAAGCCACTAGGAACCTGAAAATGGGTTCACACAACCAACCGTAACATTATTTTTGCTGCTACTTCATAACTGTAATTTTTCTACTTTTATGAATCATAATGTAAATATCTGATATGCAGAATATCTGATATGTGACCCCTGTGAAAGGGTCATTTGGCCCCACGAGAGGTCATGACCCACAGGTTAAGAACCTCTAGATTATAAGCTCCTAAGAGCAGAGATCTTTTCTGGATTTTGTTTCTATAACTGAGAATTTCTGGTGCCTGAGAATAGTCGCCAGGACACCAGTGCTGGCTGACAGGTGCCTGTTGGATGAGCAAATGGTACCATTCTTTGCCATCTTTCAGTCCTGTGGGATCCCTTCCTTCTGGCTCCCACCTCGATTCATTGACCAAGAAACCTTCAAGGAAACCAGCAACATAGGTGACAGGCATTGACAACAGACATCACTCAAAGAGGCAAGTTCATCCCTGGACATCCATGTCACAATTGTTGCTGTTTACTAATGCAGACGAAGAATTATTCAGCACATTTTAGAAGTAGGAAAATAGAAAACCTGAAGGAAAATTCATTACTATCTGATTTTTTTCATCATTCAGAACACCCAGTGAGATTAGAGGTAATGGTTAACTAGAACATGCTGAACGTTTTGTTTTGTTCCTGAACTAGAATCTTCAGAACACCTATAATCCCAGAATGCCAGAGGCTGAGAGAAAGATCATGAGTTCAAGTCCAGCCTGGGCTACACAGCAAATTAAACACAAGCTGGAGCTACATATATACATGTAGGCACACCTTGTCTCAAAAGCTCAAGGGTCATGATAAGAGCACTTCCCCAGCTTTCATTAGACCTTGGTGCCATACTAAGCTCTGCCTCCACCACCACATAATGTAAAACCTAAATAAATAAATAACAATTCATTATACCCATTATCTACTAAATAAAAACCACTAATCTGTTCACTATTCCCGATGGCATTTGCAAAGTGAACCGAATGTGTGTTTGCTTTCCAGAGCAGGGCCAGACTATAGCAAACTCAATATGCCACAGAAATGGACCCTGTAGCTTTTATAATTTTTCCCCTAACTTCTCATGGACTTCCCCACGGCGCAAACATTAAGAAAAACTTACCGATGTGCAGTAGATGCACTGGCATTCCTGGAGCATGGTCACCTTGTCCAGAGGCTGTTCACACAGGCAGAGCTTGCACGTGACAATGGGGACAGGAGTCAGGTCTCCGGAAGTTGGATTTTCAGCAGTCATGGTCAGACACTGCAGCCCGTCGATGGAGTCCATTAGCCTGTCTTCAGCCTCCTCTATCCCTACAGAAAAACCCAAAGTAAGAAACATTATCGCCATCCATATAGCTAATGTTAAACACATGTATTTGGGGGTCTGGCTGAGTAAATCCTCACTCCTCACCCTTGGTGATTTCTGAAAGTACAGTTGATACCTTTCTGGGAACTGTGGGATGGAGTACTCTTGATCTTGGCAAGGTCTTCCCCAAGCCCTGAAATTTAAGCTGACCTCACCTCACTGTCCTGATTCATATCATGGAGGCTAGCTGTGGGAGTTAAGTGATCACTAGACAGGGAGGAGAAGGGATGAGGAGATGTTGGTCAAGTGCACAATTCCAGGCAGACAGGATGACTAAGTTCTGGAGAACAATAGGGCAACACAGTGACTCCAGCTAATAATAATAATGGCATTGTGTACTTGGCAATTGCTGAGCACAGATTTTAAATGATTCCCACCAGGAAAACAGAAATAAGCATGAGAGGTAATGATTGCATTAATGATCTTGATTTACTCATTTTGTGTGTATGCATACTGTCTTAAAACATCACATTGTGAATCATTAATTATGCCTTATAAAGCTGGCAGGGGAGATAGGAAATCAGTACTATAAACAAACATGCCACTTGGTCTGAATGAGAAGTGGCCCCCATAGACTCATGCATCTCAACACCTGGCCCCCAGTTGGTAGCCCTGTTCGGGGAAGGTTTGAAAGCTTTAGGAGGTGGGAACTTGCTGGAGAAAGTATGGGCTTTGACAGTTTATAGCCTCACCCCACATCTAGTTCTCTTTATGTTTCCTGGGTTGCCAAGGAAATATGAGCAGTCAGCTTCCTGTCCTGGCTACCCACAGCCATGCCAGCCTCATTGTTATGGACGATAACCCTCTGGAACCATTAGCCAAAATAATCTCCTTTTTCCTTAAGTTGCTTCTGTTTGTGGTGTTTTACCATAGCAACAGAAGTAACTAATATAGTACATCACTACCATCACCACGGTCAATTCAACTGGCTCAAAAAATGCTTACAAATAGGATGTCTCTCAAAAGAAAGTTCAAGAATTACCAAATAGGTTGGGCTGTAGCTCAGTGGTACAGCACTTGTCTAGGATGTAAGGCCCTGGGTTCCATCATCAGAAACACTAGAAAAAAATTATCATGTGGTCCAGAAATTCCACTTCTGGGTATGTGTTCCCAAGAAGTCTGAAATCAGGGTCTTAAAGAGGTATTTCTACATCTTTGCATTATTAATATCATTCATAGGAGTATTATTCATGACTGCCCGAAGGGAAATCAAGCTAAGTGCACATCAACAGATGAATGAACACAGTGTACCAAGCATAAGAAGAACAATGCAATCAAGAAACACAGTAAATACAGCAAACGTGAGGCTGCTGCTAATCCAGCAGACGGTTCTGCAAAAAAACAGTTTTATGTGCCAGAAGGACACACTAAAATACTAATAAAAGGTATAGTGGAATAAATATATAAGCTATTAACATAGTTTCTTATTATCATTAACCAGTCATTATTCACTGTCCATAATTGTATATGCTATTTATGGTTGGTAATGCTATATGTTTGTTTATACCAGTGTCACACAAATGTGGATCATGTGTTAAGTTACAATATTATGACAGCTATAAATGTCATTGTGGGATGGGAATTTTTCACCTACATTAATATCTTAATGGGACCATCACCGTGGCTTTTCATTGATGGAAACTTCAGGATGAGCTTCATGACTTATATATAAACGCAAGAACACCAAAACAAGAATGAAAGAAAAAGTTGGAGGTGATAGAAAAGGGGAAAACCAATGAGATCTTTGCTCATCAACCAGAAAGAGTCAAGAGTTACTGCCCTATATAAACTGAGAAGCAAGAGAAGACTTGACTCAAAACAGGTTAAAGAGGAAACTAAGCAATGATTAGTTTCCAACATGGAAGGCATGCTATAAAGTTCAATAAACTTCAAGACTCAGTGTTCTCATCCTACTAACAATTAAAGAGCTACCATCCAAGAGCAAACTAAAATCAAATTAACGCACACAACAAGCTTGAGACTTTGAGATATCAGACTTCCCTTTAGGGTCATGTAAGAGAAAAAAATGAATGATGTCGCCTCTTTCCAGTCTATGGCTAGATAATGATCACTTGGTCATATTCCTAAGACTTCCAGTGTACCACTCTCACAGTCCCACCAATGTCCCCCCAAACGTGTCTTCTCAGCTGAATGCAGCCAGTGAATGCATCCTGAGTAGGGCAACGTAACTGTTGCAACTCAGAACCACCCCAGACCTCAAATATCAATTACCCTTCAGAGCCAACTAGAGCCAGTCATGATGGCCACACCTCTGTAATCCCAGAACTCAGGAGGCTGAGATAGTAGAATCTTTATTTCAAAGTCAGCTTGGGCTAGATAGTGAGATCATGTGTCAAAACTAATTGAATAAATAAATTTAAGATGCCAGTTGGAGGATGCTACTGAGAAGAACCAATGCTGTTCTTCAAATCTGGCCATTGCTCACTTTCTTATGTCCTTGCCTGGTATCGCTTTTGAGAAGGAAACTTTATATAGGGCAATTTAGAAATTATTATTATAATTAGTGTGTATGTGACTATGGGCATGTGTGTGCCAAAGTGCACATCTGGAGATCAGAGGACAATTTGAGGGAGTTGGTTCTCTCCTTCCAAAGTAAGTTTCAGGGATTGAACTGTGGGTTCTAGGAACCAACTCATGTTGTAAGACTTGCATTAGAAGTGCCTCTAACTGCTGAGCCATCTCACTGGCTATATGGGACAAATTTTTAATGTACTCCTGGATATCTTAGACATACTTGTGGTTTGTTTTTTAAGACAAGGCATCTATATACAGCCTTGGCTGTCTTGGAACTCTATGTAGACCAGGCTGGCCCCAAACTCACAGAGAACCATCTGCCTTTGCCTCCCAAGTGCTGGGATTAAAGGTGTGCGCCACTACACCCAGCTCATATTCATGTTTTTGTTTTGTTTTGTTTTGTTTTGTTTTGTTTTGTTTTGTTTTGTTTTGTTTTGTTTTGTTTTGTTTTGTTTTGTTTTGTTTTGTTTGATACAGGGTTTCTCTGTAGCTTTGCAACTTTCCTGGAACTCACTCTCTTGCCCAGGCTGGCCTCGAACTCACAGAGATCCGCCAGCCTCTGCCTCCCGAGTGCTGTGATTAAAGGTGTGTACCACCACCGCCCGGCTCATATTCTTGTTTTTAAGATAGACCATCAATTGTATTCAACAAGATCTACTGAAACCTAATCATGTCTCTAGTCATAGCTATGATTTTATGCCTTAGGTTGTGAGTTACATTCCTCAGGCTATGAAACCAAAGTTATAAAAAGACTCAAAAGTAAAAAAAAAATATGTGTAAAATATTTAAAATATAAAACCCTTTTACATTGCAGAGACACACTTAAAAAAAAATACTAAGTATTCCAACAATCATACTTGTGACTCAGTGGGACAGAGAAAGAAGTGACACATTTCATTCCATGGAGATTTGAATAATTCAAAGCAATTTTTCAGGAAGAGGGGATTGTTTTTCTATGTACAATCAACACCAATTCCCTAAAGTGATAGATTTTAAACACTTTCCAAGCAACAAAACTTAATAAAAATAAAATGACAAGCTACCACTGCTTAAGAGAGAATAGAGAAATTAGTGCTTGTTCCTGGAGGGAGATGCAGGGCCAGTCCCTCCTTGACCTCCCCGAGTCTCCTGGGCCCTACCACAGAAGCCTAAGGCCACCCCAGAAACAGACTAAAAACCAGCCTTTGGCATTTGTCTTTGGGTAAAACAAACAATGAGTATTTTTTAAAAACGAATGACACATAGCATACATTTTATAGATAGATAGACAGACAGACAGATCTTAAACAAGAAATCCTTCCACCATTTATTGGAAATTGGATTTTTTTAGAGCAGTAAACAGGACCCTGTAATGACTCCTCTGGTGGGATCCCCACACTAGAAAGGCTACAGTTTGCTGGTATTTCTTGGCTTGTATCTCAAGATTCACCCTTCTTTACCACATGAACCCATTGGTGGAAAACCTTCAGCTTCCCAACCTAACTACCTAGCAAGTCACATGCAGCTTGGAGGGATGAACTGTCTGTCCTGGTTCATTCTTGGTCAGCTTGACACAAGCTAGATTCTTTTGAGAAGAGGGAACCTCAGTTTAGAAAATGTCCCCACCAGATTGGCCTACGGGCCGTCCTTTTAGGTATTTTCTTGATTAATGATTGGTGTGGGAGTGCCCAGCCCACTGTGGGCAGTGCCACCCTTGGGCTGGTGATCCTGGGCTCTATGAGAAAGCAGACTGAGCATGCCACGGGGAGCAAGTCAGTAAGCAGCACTCCTCCACAGTCTCTGCATCAGCTCCTGCCTCCAGGTTCCTGCCCTGGCTTCCGGCAGTGGTGGTGTGATCTGAGAGTTATAGGGTGAAATAAACCCTTTCCTTTCCAGGCTGCTTTTGGTCATGGTGTTTATCTATAGAAACTCTAAAGAAGATACCCTCCCAACCCCCCCCCCCATCCTTTTAATCAACCACCCCTTTGTAGGCACACCGGCAATTCACCCTCTTTCCCTTTCAGGCTTCAAGAAAAACCTTCCTTCCAGAGAGAGCTGCCAGCTCACTAGGACTGGCCTCCTCCTGGCTTGTATGGCTTGTTCTGTCTCATACCTCACACTCTAATTCTGAGATAAGAAAGCAACTCGATTTATCCAGCCTACCACTTGCAAGGTAACAATTATAATTGTTTTTACAGTTATTCCAAATGTAACTGTGCCTCTCGTTGGGTGTCCAGAACCCTTGGGAAAGAATTTTGGCAGGGAATAGTAGGGCATGTTGGAAAGAAGAGAATTCTGGCAGCTGCCTTCAGGTTTCAACTTTCAAAGGCTTGTGGCAGGTTTCACTTGTTTACATGTATATACCTTGCTCGATAGCCAGGTTCTGTGAGGAGGGAAAGGCACTTCAGACCATTCTGTTTTGTAAAAAATT